ATTACATGTACAAGTCAGGTTCATTTAGGTGTATTTGATTGCAAGTACCACAAGAAAATAAGTTTTGAAGCAATTATTAATCAAAAGTCTAAAAAAAAAAATCTTCATTACACGTAAAAGTAAATATTGATTTAGGATTGTTTTAATGATTTAATTTTCAACATAAAAAATATTATATTTGTCCATCTTTTACTGGTGGATAAATGAAAAAAGAGAGTTAATTCTTTGAAAAATAAAAAACTTATCCTGTATAAGGAAAATAATCTCTCTAATTTTGAAGAAAATATAGGAGTAACGTAGTTTACTTTAGAAAGTATTTTTTATAGAAAAATATCAATGAAATGCTTTAGAAGTAGAAATTTGGATGAAAGAAGATATTTTTCATGAAAAATAAAATCAATCATACAATTTTTCTGAAATTTTTATCCTTGTGTTGAAAAAGGTGAAGGTGAATGTGCAGTTGTTTTGCGATAATGATGGATGGTTATCATTGATTAAAAGCGTGCCTTTATCGTGAATGAATCCTTCAACAAATCTAACGTTGTTGGGCGTGGAAGAGAGAGACTCGTAGCACCCGTGAATTAGCAACAATTGATACAATTTCCACAAATATTTGTCTTTTGATTGCTTTTTTAATTTCTCGATCCCGTGATAAAAAGCATCTTGCATCTTAACTCTTTTGATGGAAGACAAAATGGAATCATTTAATGAATTAAGCTTAGGGGAGTCACATTAACACCACAGTCCATTCCAGAATAGTGGAAGATGGAAACTGAAGGGGTTTGACAGGAAGTTTCTCAAGGGTGAAGTTACAATGGAGAAAGTACTAAATTGATTCATTTACAGATTGACTATTTTCAGATTCTTACCGTGGCTGTTAGGGTTAGCTTACACGCACCTTTACTAATTTCACGGGATTCTGAAATTTATAGTTGGGTACTTATCTTAATGGTTCTAAGGAAACTCGAACTAATGACTATTGAGGAGTAAACTCAATATCAGACTATTGAGCAAGCTCTCATAGTTTTATTTTCTGATCAATTTTTGAAAAAAATCTTCTTTTTGCACTTTGTTAAAAGTGCAGAATACTTTTAAAGCTCAATCATAGATCTCAACGAGAGGCGGTGGTCAGGCGACTAATTTTGGGTTTGAGGAACGGGTGTCTTCTTCTTCTTCTTCTTTTGTTTTTTAAATTTTTTTTCCCTTATTCTTTTAATTAGTTTTATTATTTAATGCGATAAATAAAAAGTTACTTTTTCCCCCGTTTTAAAATATTAAAAATGTGGTCAAAAATAAATTTTTATTCAACTAACGGAATTGTGGATGATCAAAAAGGCTTTATCTGTAATGTTTGGAAAGTTCAGAAATAACAACTGCAACACAAAAGATTTCGAGAAAGTCTACTAGCATTTCAAGATCTAGGATTTTTGCTGCAATTATCCCTACGTGGAAATGAAAGACAACCCCACTCTTAAATTTACTCCACTTGTACATTAACTTTTCTGTTGCCATTATCCTCCCAACTGCAACCTCCCATCCACTTTTCTCTACTTGTTCTTTTCAGTAATGTCAAGTGGAGATAAAAAAAAACCATCTTGTCTACATGACACACTACCAAAAAAAAAAAAAAAAAAAAAAAAAAAGGGTCTACAAGACATTCAACTTCATTTCGAGAAATGAACAGTGAACGGCAATCCAATCTTATATATCATTTATAATTATACGAAATTTTACACTCCCAGGGCAGATGGAAATCTCCAACATGAACAAAAGCTAACATCATTTATACAATAGTACTTAATAAACACTTCTCAAAATATTGTAACTAGTAATCTTTGCTCATTATCTTCTTGCTCGTGTTAATGTGTCACTGGAAAGTTTGTCCACGCATGTATATTCCGAAACAACTGTACAGTCACTGTCCGAGTTCTTGAGATCATTACCCGTTTAGCGTGGGATCAGCAATTTATTTCAGTGGAGAAGCAGAAGGTTTCGGATAAGCATGAATAGTGTTTTTATTGATGGCATCGCCAGCACTTCGTCTACGCTGCCTCTTTCTGTCGCTCATTTTATTGCGAGTGTTCTCTACATTTTTCGAATCCTGAAGTTGCTCCAGTTCTTTGACAATTTCTTCCATGGTTGGCCTCAACTTAGGTTCGACAGATATGCAACGCAATGCAAGGGTAGCCACCCCATGTGCCTCATCCATCGAGTACTGGCCTTCAATGCGGTTGTCTAAAACCCGAAAGAGTTTACGCTTGTTGGCTAAGTAGGGTTTCGCCCATTCCACCAGCTTGTGTTCTCCAGATGGTTTATTTTTGTCAATTGCTCTCCTGCCAGATACCATTTCTAGGAGAACAACTCCAAAACTGTACACGTCACTTCTGGCAGTTAAATGACCTAATTCCAAATTATGTAAATGAACATTAAAGGAGAACTAAAGCATTTAAATTATAGTAACGTTCAACAAGAATGCAGAATCAAAGGACTCGGTTATGCTAAAAAAATAAAAGAATCCGAAAAGAAGTAACTTTTTAAGCTGAGTCAAGCATGCTTAAGTTGCAATTTTACTTGGGTATGATCTTTGAACAAGGAGATATTCAAACTCCAAGAGGGAAGTCCTGGTTTCACTATCTTTCTACTTCTTCAAAGAAGTAACATCAAAAAATGCAACTATTGCTCAGATACAGCGATAGTTGATAATAAGCCACAAAATGTGAAAACGTGACATAGTTCAAACCCGTACCAGTCGCTAGATATTCTGGAGCTGCATATCCATAAGTTCCCAAGACCCTTGTGGATACGTGGCTTTTATCACCTGTCGGCCCATCCTTGGCTAATCCAAAGTCGGAGAGTTTTGCATTGTAGTCCTGCCATATCATATGATAAAGAAATTGACAAAATTAGCTGAGGTCATATGAAGTTTATTGGAATACGTCTCTTTATCTATGTACTACTTTTGGAGAGCTAAAAGATAGGAATATTTACCGAATCAAGCAATATATTGGAAGTTTTTAAGTCTCTGTAAATAACTTTCGTTTCAGCATTATGAAGAAAAGCAAGTCCCTTTGCGGCTCCAAGAGCGACCTTAAGGCGAAGACTCCAAGAAAGAGGCTGGAAATAAGAACCTCCTGTTACATGGAAGTTACTACATCAATTTAATAACAACTAGAATCATATTTGGATATTTATATACATATTTGCAAAATCGAATTCTCACTCCTAAATAGATGGTTCTCTAAGCTGCCTCGAGGCATGAATTCATACACCAAAAGTCGATGCTCATCCTCCAAGCAATAGCCAATCAGTTTCACAAGATGAGGATGAGAAAACTGCCCCAAATAGTTCACTTCCGCCTATAAGAACACACAAAGTATATTAAAGTCATTATGTTATAGAACATTTTTATACTCGAATGGAAATTTCAATTTAATGGTTTATATTTCCGAGAAACTCACCAACCACTCCCTGTGGCCCTGAAAACTTTCCTGGTGAAGCTTTTTTGCAGCAATAACCATGCCGGTCCCAGCCTTTGCGGCAGCAAACGAGTTCTCATCAATCCAACCCTTAAAAACTGAGCCAAATCCACCTTCTCCGAGTACACTGTCAGGACGAAAGTTCCGAGTGGCCATCTTGAGATCAGCAAAACTAAAGCTCTTCAAGTTTGAAGCCTGCAAGATCTCACCCTCACTCCGAGGAGTAGGTGGCACCGATACTGACAAGACCTTGCTACTCGATTTGCTGAAATCACTCCCATTTGTTCTCTCGTATTTTGAATTTTCCCCTAACAAATTCAATCAATGAAACATTTGGGAATCACTGTGCTTTTTCAGTAGAACACCATATCCTTATTAAACAATCTTCAACATCATTCTGTTAAGAAATGATGTATTGACAAAGCAATCTCAACAAAAATCGACAAAGATGCTATCCAACTCAATTGTTTATTGTGAAACCAACAATTCACAAGGGAAGTTGAAGCTAATAACTCAACAAAATAAGAGAAAAACTCTGAAATAATGGAAATTGTTATTCTTATTCATTTACATAAGCAGTAAGAAGATTAGAAACGTAATCAACATAAACAGCCCCGATAAATCCCACAATAACATATCAAAATTAAACTTCAAAAATATATTTTATTGCATAAATTAACAAAAGCTCTTATGATTTTAAAGAAACTAAAGCCCAGTAAACATTTACCTGTATGACCTGGGCTGCTTTCTGCTTTGATTCTAGAACTCAAACAAATCCCCATAGTTAAAAAGAACCCACCTTTCAGTTTCTTGGTCTATGTAAATTCTGCAGATTACAAAAAAATTCAAGGAGTTAGATCTAAGGCACGAAAAAAAAAAAATTACTGAAAATATATTTACAGAAAAGTCCAGGAACATAAATGGATTGAAGAAAATTAAATGCCCACCTCTATATCTTGAAAATAAAGCACGAATTAACAGCTATGGTAGCAAAGAGAAACAGAAAAAAGATGGGCTTCTTGTGTGTGAAAGAGAGATAGAAGAGAGCTGACTATGCATATTCAGTGGGGGCACAAGATGGAGAGTGAAGGTTGGAAGAAGAAGGCCTTAATGGGGGCATGGGACCTTAAACCTCCTACTTTCTCTCTCTATATTGACTGCTGCTTTTTGACTCCTGTTGGTGTACACGAACACGATGACGTTACCGGCCTCAGCCGCTCAAGATATATTTTAGCGGCTCGGCTAAATCACACTCTACTATTTGTTTAACAAAACAAAATGTTTCCTTACACTTATTGGGGAGTTACAGCTTGTTTGGGAGCGATTTTTTGCTTCAAAAAATTAATTTTTTATCGTTATTTTACTATTTTAATCGTCATATTTGACTTCTTCTCTTCTAACAGTCAAAAATTTAATTCTCAAAATCAAACACAAACCCAAACAGGCTCTAAATAAGGAAAATTCAACAAAAGGTCCCCAATTTTTTTGTAAGTGTGACACGTGTCTCTAACTTATCATTTATTATATTCATGTCCTTGACCTTTTAAATCTTAGTAACCTATGTCCTAGCTAACCGAAAACGTTTATTTGAAAGTTGAACGATCACATACGGAAATGAAAATACTGTTGAAAAAGACTTTTTATATTCAAAACAACCCAAAAATAAGTAAATATGACAAAAAAAAAAATTAGTATTCGCGAAACATATCCTCTTACTTCAACCTATTATCGACATCAAGTGAGTGTCATGAATATTTGACTTTCTTCTAAATATTTTTTTGATTGGAATATGAGTGCCGCGATTTTTGAAAGGTTGAAAATATGAGTAGAATAAATAATAAATTTATTATTATTTATTTTTCCAAATGCCATATTTATCAAGATCATGTTGACTTGACATGAGCAAATGAAAATGGTTGGTTAGAGAAAAAGTCGAAGTCAATGGCAAATCATTAGCCTCGTGTATCTTGCGAATCCAAAAGTTGAAAGGTAAAAAGGAAACCCATTAATTACTTTTAACGAGAGTTTAACGTAATACTCCATTGAAGACACTGTATGAAGTAATTTATAATTGACTTAGCTCATGTAATGCACACGCTAGGTCAATGTGGATCACAACTAACATAGTGTTCTGTAGGGAATTAAAATTAAATTTTTTTTAGTAGATTGTGATAGAAATTTTTAAAATATGTAATTGAAAAGTTGTGGACCCCATAAAAAATATTGTTAATACTGATTGTTTGACTTTGACTTAAATAAAAATCGGATTTTAATTCCAACCAAATGGACTATAAGGATGAAAGGTGTTATGAAGCTAGATCTGATTAGTCAAATTAGTAAACAATTTATAAATATGAATATGAAGACGATTGGTAATGAATTTTATGTAATGTATAAATAATAATGAAGTAGTAATTATAAATGTATATTAAAATAAATATTTATTTTTAACAATATAAACCATTTATAAATTTATTTGCCAAGGCTTATGCATTTTGCACGTATGATGCTTGCAAACACGCCTACAAAAACAAGTAACCCAGAGTTTTTCTGACGTTATATCTTGATCATGGCTTACGTCTACCTGATGAAATCAGGACCGTCAGAGATTCATACTTATTCAGTATAATTTATTGGATATAGTCCGTAATTTAGATTAATTAAATACATCTAATTAATTGGCTGTAAATGTAATTATCCAGTCAATGTTGCTTAAAGAAGAAGCATTATATTCCTTGGGTTGGACCCGTATCTTGGAGCACATGCATGTTTGGCAAGTGGCCACGAAGCTGTGGCTCGGCTTAATAATTAATATCCAGTCAGCTTGAAGAGACGAGTTAGAGAAAAGGGAAAATTACATTTCAGATCTTCAACCTATTTGCAAAGCAACAAGTGAATCCAAACTTTTTAATTAGTACTATAATGGTCCCAAAGTTTTTGAGAGAACAACAGTAGAAAGTTTCTAAGTATTGAGATGTCAAGGTCAGCATCGCATGACACACTATTAGTAGGATAAAAGATAAGCCCCGGGGCACATCTTAAGTGGCAAAGGATGGAATTTTTCAAGGAGGACAGTTCAGAGGTCGCGAGTTCGAATCATGGGGCTCTTGAAAGGTAGGCTTTCTCCTGGAAGGCATGATATTTTTTGGAAGGTAAGGCGCATATATGGGTTTGACTCGCTCGACCCTTTCGCAGTTTAGTTGGGAGGGCTCTTGAACCCTGGCCAGTTTGGGGGCACAACCCGCGGTTTACTTAATTTGCGTGAAGAGGGGCTAGATCGTAGGGTTTAAGATTAATCGTTGTAAGGCGGACACCTGACTATCCAAAAAAGAAAAAGATAAAAGATAAATAGGAAAAAAGAAGAAGGATGAGAACAATAAAGAAAGCAAACTTGATACCCCAATTCAATCTTCACCTCTTAACCCCAACTAGGGCCCGTCCCCAATTATCTAAACCTCATGTCATCCCCACACTCACGACTAGATTTGTATTTTAAGGTCAGTGAAAAGCGAGAAGTATGAGAATGTAAAAGAAAAATGAGTACTTCAAAAGTACTATTTTCAGCCAAATATACAACGTCAATAAAAAGTATATCAATATAATAACGTAAAATTAAAAAACAATGTGAACAATCGTAGATACATTAAAAAGTTAACAATCATGAAC